GTGAGCCTTGGGGACTACACCCTGCCTCCAGACAAAAGGATGGAACACCTGAAGGGAATTCCTGGCTGTAGCTCGACCGAGTACACTGAGCCTTACGAGACCACCAAATTACTAAAGGGTAAATATTAGTGAGATGTATAGATATGTTTCCATTTTATCTCATATGACCCAAGCACACTGAATCTTACGAGACTACCAAAATACTACAGCAGGGTTGTCCCTAAGACCCGGGGGCCGGGGAATTTCCCCACCTATAATGGCATTATCTCCCGGTTACTCTGGCATTCTCCCTCAACCCCCTATTAGGGGAGGGACTCAAGACCCCTTTCTACTTCTTTAATTGTCCCCTGTTATTTCAATTCTTAGGGACAACCCTGCTACATGGTAAATATTAGTGAGATAAATAGGCATGAATTCATTTCATCTCGTATGACCAAGTACACTGAGCTTATGAGACTACCTAAAATACTACAGGGGGAATACTAGCTATGTAGACTGAATTTGATTTATTTAATATGAATATATAAACTTTCCATTAATTATAGACAATATTATGCAAGATGTTATTTAAAAAATTAATACATGAACTCAACTCATTCTCTGATATGTGCCAGATTTTATTTGTCTCCGTGAAATGTATAGGGCTGCAGATGTTATTATGTCTTTTCTTTGTGTTTTTCCCTCGAAAGTCATACTGTTTCTATAGAGGAATTTGTGAATTAGAAAAGAGTAGTTCTTAAGGGTCTTTATGCATCATTCTAAGTCTTCAAGTCATTTATTGTCATATAGATTGTACTAAATGTGTGACTTTTTTGTAATTTGATATTGTCATAAGTAGTGTTATAATTTTGCTCATGTTTTCATCAGAATTAAGATGTAAATGACAATTAAAGTGAGTATGGAGAAGCTTCTCATTATCTTCAAATTTCGGGGGGGGGGGGGGGGGGGGGGGGCTTGTTACATGTATTGTGTTACTGCTTTGAAATTTCATTCTGCTTTGCAAAGTTTTTTTAAACATTTTTTTCTATTTATAGTAATAAATATGAAAATTGTCAATAAGAATTAGGTGATAGGACATCAGTTCTAGTTTGCATGGAGTATTAATTACTATAAACTTTTTACAATAGTTCTTGGATACAATATAAGTTAATCCATTTTCACACTAGTGTGGGAGAAGTTATGAAGTAAAGTTTAATGGAAATGTCACAAGGTTTAAAATAGTTTCCATTATTGGATGCTTCCTGTCATTTCAAGTTCCATGCAAGAGGAAAAAGGAGGGATAGGAAGAATAAACGGAAACAAAATTAATGTGTTTTTTTTAGAACTAGATCTTCCCATTTTCCCTTGTCTAATTAGCATCACTTAATTTTTATCTATTGATATGTAAGTATATGATAAGTAAAGACACAGTCACTGGTCAGTTATTTTCAATCAGTAATTTCCCCTTTGATGGCCTCACATTCCATTACCTAACAGGATGATGACTCTGTGTCACCAAATAGAGTTCACTTGTTTTATACACTTTCTGTAGGACCCACTATTTTCTCCAGAAGGTGGGTATATCTCCATTATAACAATCACATGAGGTTTCCTTTTTTTACTAATGATCACAGGTGGTTACTTTTTGAACTGTAGCTTTGATTTGTAAATGCGGGTTAAAAGTGTTTGGCTAATGGTTATGATGTTTGAAGGACTTAATGTATGAAATCCCATTTCCTGATTAAAGGAAAATAATTGAAACGATTTTGCATCCACATTTTTTTTTAACATTTGCAGCCAAGTTCATGCAAATAACACTGTATCTGCATTCAAGAAAAAATTATATGATGTGCTGATTACATGTAACAATATTTCAGCATGGTCAGTGGTCAATGAAATTTTTAAAAAGCAATTCTACAAATATTGGAATGGCTGTTAATACTTATTGTGATGTGTAGAATTGTCGGTATTGTGGATTGTCTACAGTATAATTTGTCACTCCTTGATGGAGTGGATATAGATTAAATAGTCTGAAGGACCTTAATAAGCCTTGACATGCAGGGGCCATAAAAAGATTACATCATGGTGAGATAATTAATCAGGTATTAATCCTACCTGTTTGTTCCAATCAGTGATGTCTATTGACTCATGTCAGTCATGCATGGCAATAGCTGTAGGCGTGTATTAGTAAACATCATGTATTCAGAATCACTGTACTGGAACCAGACACGGTTATGTAGGAAATTGCTTTGGAATCTCTTGGAAACCACGCTGTTAATTGAGTGTACGTAGTACCAGTATCTAATGCCATCACTTCCCTATGTGTGTATATAGTCCTACCTGTTGGCTTTTCCTCTGTGTGGAATAACATTTTGTTGGAACATATTTTTCTCGATTTTCTCAATCATCCAGAAAGGTTTGACAGTCTGGTAAGATATTGAAGGGTCTATACTATTTCCTTGAAAGAAAGTTATAAGTTATCTTTAAGAAAGAATAGTTTTACAATGTCCTTATTGTTATTAAAATCAGAATTGATAACTTTCATATGCAATCAAATAACTTCCTGTAATTCAATAATCTGAAACTAAGTCTGCATGATAAAGATTTTTTTTAAACATATGAAGGCTTAGTATGTAGATTTTTAACTTGATGATTAATTCATGGGGTCTGAAAATTTGATGACCAGGAATTATGAATAATTTTGAGACCTGTGTGTGATTAATGTCTTGTTCATGGTAAGTTTGAGTATTTAAAGTTTTTCTTCATGATGAAAAAGAGGTCTGGCATTTAAAGAATGTTATTCAATAGCCCCAGGGTTATCAATAAATTGTAAATATTCTGCACCTTGCTTGATAAACTTATTTTTTAAATGTAACCCTAAGTCGTAAGATAAATGTGTGTAACACCCCCTTTCTATGTATGACAATAGAACTGATGTGTATAAAGACATTCCAAACACATGGCTGGGTTAAGCAGATAGTGGGCTGTGTACATTACCAGTGATGATTAATATTTACTCTTTTAGTTTATTTTTTTGTAGCTATTAGAAGAGACGGAGGAGGAAACAGAAAGTCATCTCCCTTGGAAGAGAAATCAGGTGTCTACTCTCTTGCAAAGTCTGTCAGTGCCGCTCGACCACAAGAGACTAAGGTTCTCTACAGAACTCTCTCTGACCCAGCAGGAGGAATAACTGACGAGGGAAACCCCTCCCAAGACTACGACCATCTCAGTACCTGGAGAACCAAAGAAACTGTGTCCCCTAAGTCTCAGAATTCCCCCAAATCCCCACGATCTCCGAGTGGACCTGTGATACCACAGTATGAGGATCCATGGGATTCTAAAGGGAAACAGCAACACTTTAACCAGATTTGTGAGAAAGCAGAAATAGCATCACGTAATAGTCAGCCAACATCACCTGCAAGTCCAAACAAATCTCGGAATAGAATGGATGTGTACGAGGACGCGTGGGACTCAGATTTTCAACAGAAACTGATAGAGGCTCGTGTACAGGAAGCTCGTAGAGCAAGTGAGTCGAGACCGAAGGGTCGATATGAATATGAGGAGCCTGTCTCCTCCTCCAAAACATCAGTGCGAAAACTTCCATCTGTAGGAACAAAAAACACTCAAAATGACGGGCAAGTGTACATGTCAAATTATGAACAGCCCTGGGACTCAAAAGAGAAAGAACAAGAGTTGGAGGAAAAATTTAGTCGTGTTGGGTTGTCTGGGGGTCAGAGATCCCCTGGGAGCCCCCCTCCCCCAGACTTTGCACCCCCTCCACCACCCCAGGCATATGAAGATGCCTGGGACATCAGACCACAGTCCAAGATCATCTCACAGGTGTCATGTAAGTGTCAAATTATTGTTACTGTAATTTAGTTTGTATGGATGTGTGATTTTATCCGTATATTGGTATATTGTGATTTTTTATTGTGCAATATGTTTTGGTGCTACTGAGACTAAAGTACCATGATTTCTTATATGATTATAAATTCTGGAAATTCTTTAATAAAACTTTGGAAATTCATTCAAAATCATACTGAAAATTTGTGTAAAAATATCATGATGTTATCGTAATATTTGGGAGGGGGAATATGATATATCATGATAAAAATTTTTGGTGATACTCATCCCTAATGGCCTGGTTTTACTGTATGCAAAAATTGCTTGTAATTCCCACATAAAAGGTTGAAAAATAAAAATTTTCAACTCGCATACTACAGTAAAACATGCTTAAAACTAGATGTTTACCAGAATATAGATTTGCTCGCATACTCGCTACACTAACTTCATTGCTACAGTGACTTTCATGTGACATAAGAACAGAACGAAAATCGAGATTGATCAGGATGACTCTTATTATACCTAAAATAAATGCACAATATGGGAGCAGATTTAACATCTAATAATAGATTGACAAAAGTACATATTTATGTGTATCACATATAAATTGATATGTGATTTTAAATAAATTTAACAGGAAAGATTTTACCTAAAATTTTGAGGGTAGAATATACATGTACCTATAAGTTCTTAGGCTAAAAAAGGGCTGTTCTATAAATTGAATAATAGTTTATTAGAATTTCTTTTTATGATCATGTAGTACATATACTACCTTGACTACCCTGTCTCTCTGACTTCAAATATGTGGGGGTTTTTTAATCAGTTGATTTTGAACACCCCCCCTTTTTTTCATTAAACCAATAATTTCCTATTTTTTGGATTAGATTTAACATATTAAGATTTGTTTGTATTATGCATATTTATAGTAAATATCTACGTCATATATATCAAGGCCATAGTTTGGGCAGCAAGAATTTCAGATTAATTATATGTAAATGTTAATTGGCTATAAATCACAGATACTGATATGGCTTAGCGATTTTGCTATCCCTAAAGGTTTGCTGTAGCTGTGTTTCTACTATGGTTTCCAGTTCCCCATTTAAAAAAACAAACAAACATCAAAATCTAATCTTTTTTGTACTCTTGAAATAAGTATTACCGGTATTATTATCTTGTAGTACCCAACAGGACCCCAGAACATCCACCCCCTAGAAGAACGAGTTCCCCTCCCCTGTCTAAAGCTATGGCGGAGCCTATTGATCCCAAACTACCCTTGGATATACAAAAGTAAGTCATTCTGAGTTTGTTTGTTTTTTCTGTGTAAAAAGGGAATTATTGTGTTAAACTGTGAAAAGATATGGATTAAGGATGTGTACTGATTTGTTTCCTGTTTTGATATAAGATATATTAAAGTTTAATAATTTCTTAAAGTGCTTCAAGGTGAATCTAGAATTGTCTTTCCTGTGTGTTACGTGTTGTATACAATGCTTGTAATCCTCAAACAGGCACAAACCACAAACATGTTAACATGAGTTAAATATGGTGATTTAATCATTAGGTATTACACACTTTCAAAATTATAAGTGAAATGTCAAAAAATGCCCCGAAAAATATCCTAGGGGAAGGGTTTACAATATAGATTTGTACATCAGTCATAGTATGTAATGCACCTAGGGATCATTCTCTCAGTTTGTTTGTTTGTTTGGTTTTTTTTTCTTCAAAAATATAAAGTTCATGAAAATCTATAAGAAATGTCTTGCGTTACAGATTTTACCACGGTGGGATAACGAGGCGAGATGCTGAGGAATTACTGGTGATCCACAAAGAGGGGAGTTATCTCGTGAGGAGAAGCGAGACCCAGAAAAATGTCTTCTCCCTGTCACTCAAGTAAGTCAACTTATATCAACAAAAGGGGTGGGGTAATGTAAAACCAAAAAAATGTCTTCTCCCTGTCACTCAAGTAAGTCAACTCGAACCATAGCAAAAGGTTTAGGGTTATGTAAAAATTTTAAAAAAGTCTTCTCCCTATCACTCAAGTAAGTCAACTCGAACCATAGCAAAAAGGGGTATGTCCTCAAGTAAGTCAACTTACACCATAATACTCAGACCTGTCACTCAAGTAAGTCAACTTGTTGGTAAATAAAATATCTTGTATCTTGTATACATATACATGTACCATATAAAAAAGGGGTGTTTTCTCAAGTTAGTCACTGTATACCATAACAAATGTTTAGTTTAATTAAAAACAAAAAAAAAATGTCTTCTCCCTGTCACTCAAGTAAATTATACCATAGCAAAAAGGGGTGTGTCCTCAAGTAAGATAACTCATACCCTAATAAAAGGAGGGGGGTAACGTAAAAAAACAAAAAAAGTCTTCTCCCTGTGATCTAGTAATTTAACTCGTATCATAACAAAAAGAGCTGGGGCAGTGTAAAACTCAGATCAGCAGTACTACAGGTTTTGTGGAGAGGCTAATTGTCTTCTCCCTACCACTAAGGCATAACAGCAAGGTTAGGGACATTAGAAATATATCTGCTGTCACACAATTGATCACATAACAACAGTAGGAACCAGATTACAGAGTAAGGTTTAATAGAGAAGATGGGGGCACAGTGATAAAACAGTGTTTTCTTCCTGCTACCAAGGTTAAAGATGACATAACCCAAAAACAAGAAAGTACAGGATTTAGATATTGAAATGCACGTAGTGTTTTTTCCCCTGATACTTGAGTAGGCTTATGTTTATTGATATTCACAGCATTATCAATTTAACCCAGGCAACTCAGATACAATTAAAATGGTGTTTGTTTATGTGAAAGCAAAATATTAAGAAATGAAATAAGCAAGTATGTGCTATTTGTAAAGGAGCAAATTAGAAAATAATATAAGCTTGCAGTTTGTACTCTAAATTGCATTACTCCAAACCAGTTTGATTTTTCAGCATTAGTAATGAGATGTGTCGTATTAGTTATGGCCCTTGGACATTTAGCCAGATAGGAAATTATTATTCATTGTGGTTAAGATACCACACACACACAAATTTTTAAATAGATAAAGCCTTGAGTGTACTTTTCCCTGAAAAATTGTCTGACTTTGCACTAACAGAGTGACTGATTTTTTTTTTTTTTTACAGGGGAATAGGGGGCATTCCAATGCACCTCAGAATAAGTTTGTTACACGGGGAGTACGTCCTTGGAGAGAACAGCCAGCCTTTTCCGACCGTGCCAGAGATGGTGGACTACTACACGCGACACAATCTACCGGTCCAGAATGCCAGTCATATTAAACTGCTTCATCCAATCGCTCGACCCCGAATGTGACCTTTGACCTGGGTGTTTAACACTTGTTTGATTGGTGCTTGTTAGTTTTAGTTAATGATGGTCATAATAGTTAATGATATTTATATAAACATGTGATGAATTTTTCCCCTTTGCTGCCAAAGTTCTTGATTTCTTCTTTGTTTTATTACTTGTTAAATGCTTTCTGTTAGTTCTTGAACCAGAGTTTTGTTATTTTAGGGATTCCTAAGAAATGGTTTAGCTGTTTACTGTTTTTATATGTGACTTTCCTGTCTTACTGAAAAGTTTTAAAGCCAGATTCACTTTTATGCAAGATCTGATTACAGTGCACATTATGTCACAACAATGATTGTTCAGATTTGATTTTAGTTTCAAGTGTTCCTCTGAAAAATGTTTGTCACAGTATGAATGTTGTTGAATGTGAAGACCAGCAGATGTAATTCTGTCTAGGACCAACGATCTATATATATAAACACAAGTGGTTCTTCCACTTTTAATTTGTAAAAACAATGTTTTACCATTTGTGATCATGTACTGAACGTATATATTATCTACCAATTCAACAACATGAGAGTTGCAGTATCATGTGTATTAATTACTCATGTGATCATCCAAATTTAAATGTTGCCTTAAGCCTTTTGCCTGTTTTCCCAGATGGTATTAATGTTCTGCATGCTCATGCAAAGAGGAAATTTTTGTGAAAGTTAGGGCAATTAATAGACAAGTTTGTATTATTTTCACAGTGTGCTTCAAGTGAATGGGTCATAATGACTGTTGTGGTTTGAACATTTTATACAAATATTTCCAATAGTATTTATATAATACTCCAAGACGTATGCACTCGGCAGATTTATATGTGACAATCAGAGAGACTGCTGGGATTTGTTTACAGAATTGTTGCTAGGATTCACTCCTTTAAAATGCAAATATTTATATAACCATTGTATAATAACTTTTGATTTTGAACTTTAATCGGAGAACTTGACCAATTTATGTATCACGTACTGCACAAGTCAATCATCCATGTATTCAGTCTAGGGCTAAAAATCAGTATCTATTGTAAAAACAAAGTATGAGCAAAAAACAATATTTCAGGGTTATAGAAGTTTTGTTGTAAGTCATGTTTACCAATGTTGTCCACATAATGTCTTGTTATGAATAACAATACGGTTTATATACCATCTGTTTAGTGGTTAAAGTTTAAAACCGTTCAGAGTTTTATTTTTAGGAAATACACAGGAAGGGTGCAATAAGCAGTCCTTTATATGGTTTTATTTATATGTTATTTACAATCAACAGCTGATCTATACTTGGTCTATTGTTGAATACTCTTTATTGTTGCTGGGTTTGTTAAGAGCAAGCTTTAAACTTGATTCTTGTGATTTTTGCCAAAAAAACAACTGTTCATTTCTACACATGGTGTATATTTATCTTTGCTGAAATAAACACGAAATTAATCTGATTCTCTGTGTGTTACCTTAACCCTGGAACACAATACATGTACTTCCTTTTTCCGTCATAACATTCCCCTTTTAGTTTTCAAACCATTCAATAAAGAGGAAATGGAATTTTAAATTTCCAATAATCTTATTTTAGTTTGCTCTATGTCTTTTTAGAGTTGAATTGATATTTCCCTGTGTTTTTATTTTCTTTGGTAAGTGAGAACTTAAGATATTGGCAATATCTGTAAAACATGTTGGGAAATAAAAAGGGGGAGTTAAGCCTAGAGGAAATTATGCTAACATGGGTTGCTCTTCTCCTACAAGGAAGTTTATTTCATAATCGATCTGGGCAAATTCTAGCTTAGTAAAAGGATGGGTTCAAAGTTGTATAGGGATTTTACTAAATGTAGCCTTGTTGCCATTATTTTTCTCTAAGTGCCAGTATGTTCACAACTTGAATTGGCAATTGTTACTGTAACTTGGCCCTTTTCAAAAAAAAAATCTTTCGATTAAGATTAAAATTTGTCTGCAATTTCTTTGTTAAATTAAAGACTTTGTTTCTTTTAAAGGATTATTCACAATGTATTCAAATGTAATACAAGAAGTCCAAGGGCCTTAACGATTCACCTGAGTATAATACAACAGTATAAAGAATCCACAGATGTATAAAAAAAAATTGATTGATTGATAAGTATGTTTGCTAAATATACCCTGCAGCAGAGAAGAGCCCCACCCTAACACCAGAACGCCTGACCCAGGGGCCATGAATTTCAAATTTGGAAGATGCAGCTCATTGTTTGTTTACTTAATCCCAGGAGCAATGAAGAATATTTTCAAAATATAATGCATTTTCACCATAAAATCATTAAAAACCCATCCTAGCACCAGAGCTCCTGACCCTGGGCCATGAATTTAACATTTTTGGAAGAGAACACCTTTGCTCATCGTAACCATGTGCTAAGTATCTATACTTAATTTCCAGGAACAGAGAAGATTTTCAAAGAATTAATGCATTTTTACCATATTATCATAGAGCTCCACCCTAGCACCATAATCCTGATCCAGGAACCTTGAATTTCACAATTTTTAATAGTAAAGTGCTCATTGCTTGCTATAATCGTGTCAACAGTTAAAATTTGACTGCTTGGTGTCTTGGAGTAAGAAGATTTGTGAAAATTGTATTATGGTTTTGGCCCTACCCTTCAGGCCTAAAAGGGGGGGGGGGAGGGGGCAGGCAACATAATTCACAATTTTGGTTCCCCTTGACCCGTAGATGCTATTTACCAAAACTGCTCAGAATTGGTTAAGCCGTTGAGAAGAAGAGGAAAATCTTCAAAAGTTTACGACTGATACACGACGGACAACGCACGACGACGGACGAAAACAGATAGCAATAAAAGCCTTTTTGTGACCTACTATACCTTAGAGATGCTTTCTGGAGAATTTAAATGTTTTTGTCTTAGTCATATTATATTTTGAGAAAAGGTCCACAGATCTATGAAAGAATTTAACTTCATTCTAGCATGACCAAGTGAAGGTTCAAGGTCCAAGCTTTGGGCCAATCCAAGGTCAGATAAAACACTGTTGCTGACAGTGGTTTTTTGTTTCATAAAAAATAAAATCTTGCTTCTCGAATGTTCCTTTCCAAAACCTGAACCCCCAATTAGTCAAGGTTTAAATATATTTAAGGAGAGATTTCACACTGAAATGAAGATTTTATCAATGTTTTGAGCAAATCCAACCAGGGTGGGATGGGTCAGAGAAGGACTTGTATGAGAAATGTCAGACCATCCTTTGGAGGAAAACTCTATCTTTATTAATGTTAAATATTCTTCTCCTTCTACTCTTCCCAAATGACCTTCCTTGGACTTGTAACATACCGTTGAGTAAATGACTTTCCTTGGACTTGTAACATACCGTTGAGTAAATGACTTTCCTTGGACTTGTAACATACCGTTGAGTAAAACACCCCATCCCTCCCTTTTATAGCTAGTCAGCTGAAGAGATCACCCCATCCACCCCAGCCAAAAAATAAAAATCCTGAAAATATTCCTTAATGTCGGTGTTATGACTTATGAAGGAATTAATTAAGGGCGCCAATTAAGTTAAGAAAATAAGTCTTGATGTGGAGAAGGAACAATAACCTGTACATAACGGAAGCTACAATACATCATGACGACAATCGTGTATTTCTACAAAACGCTTGAATTGCTTTGAAACTATTTCATAAACACGTATTTTTCACCACTCTGCTTGAATTGCCTTAAAAAATGTCTCATTTATTTCAACTAATCCAGAGGAAGTACAATATAAAAAGAGGGTAGATTGTAATTAAATGAAAGGAATCCTTCATCATTATGATAGAAAAATTGAGAAATAGACATGGCACTTTTCAAGAAAGGAAAGTTAAATTAAACATGTGTAACGTTTAGAATCCAATTTATTCTATGTCTGAAAAGCCGCATTTAAAAGCCATTGAATGTGCACCTTTACAGTCAGTTAGCTCGCAAAAATGAATTTTAATTCAATTCACACTTAAAAGTATACAGTCAACATAATGTACAGGAATTTTATGAAATAGAACTTTTATAAAGATTGTGAAAATGCATCGAGATTTAAATATTGTACCCTAAGCCATTAAAAGTTCAAACATCTTTTCAGCTGAAAAAGAATTGAAAAAGGGTATCAAAGGATTCGCCATTGATAAATAGGCATACGTTTCGTCATGTTTGAATTAGATAATCAAGCCTATGATTGGCTCAGTATATTCTTTGAAAATGAGTTGACAAATTTTCAAAACACCACTGAATCATATGGTCAATACACACACATCAAATTTCATTTTCCCTACTGAAGAACTACTTGTGAGGTTTTCGAATCCGCGAAACGTAATATTCGTGGCTTATCGTCTACAAGAATTTGGAGCTAGGTATACTAAGCAGCTAAATAGGTTTGCTGGATATTTTCTGTGAAATCTTTTAGAATTTCCATTCTCAAGCTGTAAAATTCAAACTTTCGCGTGAACGGGATCATTGGAATAGCCAGGAATTATGTCAATATTATAAACGGCACATCGACGTAAAGATGGCGTGTTGTGGATACGCCTCTTGGTGGGCCAAACTGTCCTGGGGATGTGTGATGCTAGGCTCCCTCCTTCACGTGGTGGCATGGTCCACCCCCTCGTGGATGATCGGGACTAGTGGAGGAACAACCACGAGGGTCGGACTGTGGAAGACACGCACGTGCACAAGCACTTGCACGGAGACCTCTGTTGATATTTCATATAAAAATGGTTAGTTTATTTTAAACATTTTTTTTAATCTACAAAGGGGAAATACTTATGTAATACGTAATAAATAAATATATAATAATAAAAATATATATTTACAAAAACCGATGTTTGATGTATCCCCTTTCCCCAGGTTAGTGACCTTTAAGCTAGATTTGACCACGATTTAAGATGACAATAGACCTTTGGGTCATGCGCAACATCTCACTAAAATGGATTATTTCCAGCCAAGGATTCCAAATATATGACCCAGAAACGATTATGTGATAGAGAGAGAGAGAGAGAGAGAGATGAAATATATATGGAGATAACGAACAGTATTCAAGCTCAAAAGTAAATTCAAACAATACAAATCAGGAGCAGAGCAAACACGGACCTCTAAGACATCAGAGGTGGATCAGGTGCCATGGAGGAGTGAGCATCTCCTGTCGACCGGTCACATCCGCCGTGTGCTCTTTGTCATGTCGGGAATAACGGGAAAATCCGTTGACAATTCAGTGTGTAAATAATGGCCTAACAATTTACATGAAAAACGTCAGTCAGCATTTGACTTAATGATAGATTGTATTTGCTGACAAGGTCATTGTATCGACCATAGAACTTTAGAAATGATAACTTTAAACGAGACTCTTGATATTCTTGTTTCATCAACTTGTCTGTCAATAACTTATCTCGTTTTAAAAATTGTTCATACGTAAAGCATGCTTGCATATCGAATCAACTGAGAGATATAAACCCCATATGCAGGTGATGAGGGTATATTGCTGCATAAGTAAGGGAAGTTGGCGATTGAAAAGTTAAAGTCATCACGTTTATCATAAAGCTTTGTTGTTAGATTACCATTTACGTTTTTTTTTCTAGTAAAATATCAAAATATAAAACAGATGTCAGAGTCTGTGATATCTTTTATTTCAAGCTCACTGGGATATATCGTGTCGACATATGAATGGAAATAACTATTGTTAATTGATAATACATCGTCGATGTATCTAAATGTCGAGTTGAAGGCCACAGCAAGAGTTTTCTTTTTCTCATGCATAAGATTTTGAATAAATTCTGCTTCATATGTATAAAAAAAATAGGTCTGTTAATAACGGGACGAAATTGCTACCCATGGGAATTCCAACAAATCGTTCGGAGACCTGGCCTCCAAAAACCACATAGATATTGTCAATCAGAAACTCAAACATCTTTTTAATATCAACGTCAGAGCACTTAATTGTATGTACCATCAGAATGTTTTTTAACAAAATGATTCTGCAAATGACCAATGACAAGGTAAGTAAATTTACGAGTTCCATTTTTATTGAAAAAAAGCAGCTGTCAATTATGTCAAAAAGCCTTGACTTTAATTTACCGTGGGGAAGAGAGACAATGAGACAATCCCACTAGAACCTGTATAAAACATGTGTCTTCTCTATGCAGAAGACATAATGAAAGGTCATCATAGATACAATCTGATTAAAATCAGATCTTTGTTACGCTCCGAAATTCTGATGGTCGCTGTACAAAGTGTATACAGTGACCATCAGAATTTCGGAGGGTAACAAAGATCTGATTTTAATCAGATTGTCATAGATAGAATATAGGCGGAGCATATGTCTGATGGCAAGTGTTCGATTTTTTCTCTCTAATGGCACGTGTTCGATTTTTTTCAGATTCTTTCCGGACAACCCAGGCTATGGAGACAATCGCCTTCATTCTATGCTTGCTGATACCGATACTGTTGGGTGTGTACGTAATGTCGGATCGCTTCAGGAGTCCCAGACTGGCGGCCTGGTGCATGGCGGGATGCTTTGTTACAGGTATCCTGTTTTATGTGGGTTAGTTGTGAATTGGATGTTCATTGGTTAGATTATAAATATGATTTTAAGATTAACGGAGAAAATCTCTTGGTGCCATGGTTATGTTAACCAATAAACAACTGAATTCCTTTCACTTCATAATTGAATGTGTTAAGTCACATCATTGCATCATTGATTTAAAGTGGTATTCACATTCTCAGAGACTGCAGGTTAACACCCACCCACCCCCCTTTTCTTGCTAAATATTGTTACTTTGCAAATGTTGCCATAGAACTTTAACGTAATTGGGCACCGGAATGGTGTTATTTAAATACAGTGTAAGTAAAAAAATCAAGTATTTTCCAGCTTTGTTTCTATTGATGGGGATGATAGCATGGCTCGTATACGTCACAGATCCCTGGGCGGTGTCCTACTCATTCGGATTCAGTGTAATTGCACTCGTATTGACGTTCATAGCTGGATTTCTTCTCATCCCAGACATTGACGAGGAGAGATCTTATGGATTTTGTACAGATTGTAATTCTTCTGGGTCAGATGGTAGAAAGAAACCAAGATCTGTGTCTCCAGATTTCAGCAGCGAAAGATCCTTCTCCCGAAACGACCGAATCACGCCCTTATCGTCACGGTCTGAATATGACCGCATGCCGCAACCTATGACACCGGTGGAAAATTCTTGGAACAGAAGCAATATGTCCAGTTCCGCTACTTATAATAATATATCTCCTATCACTTTACAAAGGGATCGTGTGGCCTACTAACTTTCACGATGTTCATTTTGACTACCTAGTTATTTGCACACTTTTCAGAAAATAAATTGACACTCATATCTCATGATTGGATTAATTTTTAAAGAAAGCTTTGCTTTAAAAAATCATAATGACCTGCAATACATTTTTTTCATCTGTTAATTACATGTATGTTCATCGCAGTGTTCTATCTTAACATATCAAGCGAAGAAATAAAGCTTTTATGTGATAAGCTAAACTGAAAAGACGTTTTAAAAAAACAATACGAACTTCACACGATATGATCGCATTGCATAGCAGGTAATTGTTTTCTTAACAAAGAAAAGAAAGCCAATCAAACGCTTGTCAGATTTTTAAAACACAGTGTTTAGTGACACAAAAAATACGTATCTAAATGATTTACCCCTTTCATTTTATAATCTGGTTTAGTACTGTGCTACAACGACGTAATGAGAACATTCATGATAAGTTTAAGTCTTCCCATCAAGAACTATTTTTTGTGAAAAAAATAAACAATTATATATAAACGATGGGTTGCTGCGGAGAGGCTTCCGGTTGGGCGAAGATTGGTTTTCTGCTGTTGATGTGTGCTACAGGACTTCAAATTGCGGGCAATGTGACCAACAACTGGATGACGTATAACACAGTGAAGGACACCTTCGACCTCCGGGTGGGATTGTGGTGGTTCACTAACTGCTCCGGTGGGGTATCTTGTCACACCGAGAACACCCCCTCTCAGTATCTGTCGTGTGAGTACAACTGATTCGGATATTTTGAAAATGTTTAAAAATAGTATTTTTCAAGATATTTTTTGTGTTTTTGAGAAATTGTCACAATTTTTCTAAAATGATAAAGTAGTAAACATTATACATTTATTGACTTGATTCGAGGGCAACATGCGTTTTGTCGGGCCCAAGAACCAAACTGTGTGCCTTAGGCCGTTAGGCCGAAGGCAAACAGTTTGGTTCAAGGGGTCGACAAAACGCATTTTGCCCAAAATCACAGTCAATATTTTTTTTTGTTAAACCCTTTTCTTTCGACATATCTTGCGCTGCCTTGGAACCATGTTTGAGATAATTGGTAGGATATATCTGATCCCGCCTACAGTGTGACGTAAAAAACGCCACAGCGGTCCAATATCTCATCGACAGGTCCAATATCTCACTCATCGGTCCAACATCGATTTTTATGGACCGCTCAGAAAAACATTGGAAATGCTTTACTTTTTTTTAGTATTGATTTATATAGGAACAATTTTAAAGGTATAACAGCATCTTTTCCACAGTTGTATTATTTTGCGACTTCAATTTCTTGATATATGATTGACTCAGAATGCACTGTAGACCAATTAATTCTGAGTTTGATATTTATGATTGCATACTCTTTTTAAACTATATATTTACTTTTTACACTTACCAGGCCAGTAGAACGCGGGGGAGGGGGGGGGCACTTTTTCCTGAGTAAAGTATTTTGCTATAGTAAATTTTCCATTGGATGCTTGTTCCCCCCCCCCCCCCCCCCCACTTTTTGATGTTGTAAGGTCGAACACTGGCAAATTCCAGGATCTGGACAGTAAATTAGCTTTTTTTTTATTTTGCTTGTCAGATAATTTTGGGAAGTTGCCCCCTCCCCCATCCCCACTTTTGGCCAGTTTTTTTTGGGGGGGGTTCAGATTTTTTGGGGGGGAATTTTGTCCCCCCCCCCACTTTTGAAACCGTTGCTACGGGCTTGATTTACAACTAAATCAATCTAAAAAAATTAATTTATTTCAATAAATCTCTTGTTCTAAATTCACAGGCAATTTATATATCAAACCAACTTCGAAAGCCTAGGAATCTTTGATCAAAGAAACTCACCCCTTCTCACACTGTCGCAAGCCACATTCTGTTTGTGGAAATAGAATAGACACAAAACCAGTGGCTTGGGACGATGCCCTTAATTCCCACTTCTTCATGCTTCGTTAAGATTTTAAAAAAGATTCTGATTATGGTTTAATATGTGTACATAAATTCTCATGTTCTTCTTTTTTCCAAGGAACTTTGGGGTTTTCCCCCTTTTTTCATGGGCGGAAAGGTAGACACTAGGTTTTGTCTTTTAAATTAACAACTACATGTATCATAAAGGTACTTAATATAAAAACGTCCTTTTAAAATCTACATGTAAGACTAAGAAATACTTTTTAAAGTCAGAATTAGATAAACGTTGCAAGTCACTTGAAATCTTCAATATATTTTATGCACATGGGAAGTTGTGCATGTTCCTCTTTTATATTGGCAGCATTGCCAAATCTTTAAATCAATCTGTAGATATTCCAACGAAGCGACATTAAAGTTGACGTATTCAATTAAGCATAGCACCTTCAAACAAATAATTTACCTTCTAGTGAAAGCTCGTTATTGTATTAATTGTATACATTCTGTAAAGAAAGGAATCTATAGATCTGGCCAAAATTGACAATTTTGTTCGATGACGTTTAACAAATCTTTGATCTTTTGAAATAAATCTTATCAAAAGTAGATATTAAAACTGTTGTTATGTATGCACGTAATTATAAATTTGATTTATGGTTCATTTAAAGGTAGTCTACATATTTTTAACAAATTAAAAAACAAATTAAAAAACTTGCATTAAATTACAAAAATATTTTTCCCCTCTAAATGTTTAAGATGGCGCCACACAAATTTCAGTTAGCAATTACTTTATTATAGTTAAGATATAAAAAAAATATATCAACAACTTTTTAAAAATAATTGTTATAATTAAAACGTTTCTCCTTCATGTTCGTTTTCATGTGTACCAATACCGAAAATTCATTTTCATCGATCTTGTGCTGCCTTTTGTTAATTCAAAAGTTTAATGAAGCTAGGGTTCAATTTTACAGACATTGATCAGGCACGTAGCAACGGGGGGGGGGGGGGGGGGCAACCACTTTTTTCCAAAGACTTTTTTAATTATTTGAAATGTTAATTGAAAGGGTGGTTGCCCCCCCCCCCTTTTTGTTGGAGAGTAGTCAAATAAGGGTTTTGTAGTAGTATATGAATAAAATTTGGTACTGAAAGAAGTTGGACCCCCCCCCCCTCCTCCCGAAATAGGATTTTCGAGTTCGGACAATTTTCAATTTTCCATTTTTTACCCCCCCCCTTTCAAAAACGATGCTACGTCCCTGTTGATAACATACCTCAAAAACGTTATTTTAAAAAAGAACCAAGAGCTGGTCTCTCCTTTAAAACATTTTTTAAATGCAGCGACAGTAACTTCCACCCACGACTCAAAAAAAAAAAATACTGAAATAAAAAAGAAGTGTTTTTTAAGGACAAACTTTCACTGCTTTAAATATGCCCTTGGTTTCTATTTTTCTTTTCTTTATTTCATAAAATTAATATGCCCCTTTCATGAGGTATAGATATACCTAAACAGGACAGCATATTGACCGAACATGAAGTATGAGGTCGATATACTTTTCTGCAAAGTCGAGATATCTAAATATATTTAGTTTATTTTCAATATTTAAAAAAAATGATAATAAACAAATTTAATTTCATAAATAAATTTAATTTGAATAACTAAAATATTATTAATTTTCAATATAACTTGTGCTGTATGACCCCCGATCTCTGTTTAGAGACGATCTTTTCTTTTTGTGGCTGGAAGAACTCATATCCTTCTGCATTGAACTCCAGCTTTAAAATCTAGGTTCCTAGTCAAAATCTTTAAAATAGATTATCTTATATAGTATATAAATTCCGTTTGTCTCTCCAGTTGAAGTAACGTTAGTGAGGTGGTTTGAGGTAGCCGCTGCAGGACTTATGTTTATTTGCCTCATCGTCAGCGGTTTTTATGTGGCTACCGAGAGGTGCCGCACAAGGGCGGTGGCAGTGGTCCTGCTTCTGGTGACGCTTATAGCAGGTAATTTTGCTTCTCATTATCGTTATCTCTGAAAAACTATGCTTCTATACCCTGTCATGTGCATTTTTAAAAATACTTTTAGCTGGTCTTGCCATTGCTGGGATTGTGTTATGGATACTACAAGTGGAGTCGCCATATTACCCCGCCTGGTCCATGGGCCTCTCCGCTCTCGCCTCCGCCCTCGTCCTCATCACCACAATGTGTCTGATTCCCGACATCAAGGAAAATAAATACGAACCTAAATCCACAGTTCACCCTGATAATGGCAGCAAATACAATCGTCTGGAGAAATCTGACAGCATTCTTAGCAGAGACGGGCGTAGTGACAAAATCGTCAGACGACCCTCTGACGTCATCGTAACGTCAATCGGTGACACCCCTCGTGACTACAAAAAGTCAGGTGATCTCGGGAGGGAATACGGAAGACAGAACCGACGTGAGAGCAGAGTCAGCGCCGACTACAATCCGTACCCCTATGGACCAAGATCTACCAAAGATCCTTTCACCAGTGGATTCGATAGATTTGAACTTGAAGTCATCACGCCGTCTGCCCCTCCAAGATATGACTATATGCAGAAAAAATTCTAAATATAAAAAAAAACACTTCCTGCAACTCAATACTCAATTTTAAGTTAGATAGAAAGAATGGACAAAAAAGACCAGGTCTGTAGAGCATTGGTCATAAGAAAAATCGGATAGACAACCATACCGATTAATTTTTCAGACCTGTGAGCTGAAAAATTCTTCCGGCTGAGACAGGTTACATTTATATTGTCCTCAAAAACGTCAATATTTGTTTCTTAATCATTTGGAAAAAGTTGAAAAATGTCACTAAAATTATTTTGTACATGGTTTGAATTAAGAATGATATCCAAAGAAATGGATTTCAAACGATTATCTTGAGAGAGTGTTAGAGATGAAATATGCAGAGGCCAGTTTTACATACGAACTAAGGACTAAGACCACAATCTTTGGTTCATTGTAAAATTCTGCAAAATTGATTATTCTTTGTAAAATTGCTAGCATAAATAATAATAATAGTAATAAGCAGAATTAAGTTTTGGTGTTAGTCGTTAGTTCTTTTATAAAATGGGTCTCAGGCACGTAGTTTTTTTGTTTTTTTTTGGGGGGGGGGGATAAAAATATTTGACAAGTATTACAGCAAAAAATAAAAAAAAAAAGAAAAGTAAATAGTTTAAATGCTATTCCGGTTTGGGGAGGGGGGGGGTCAAACTTTTTCCATAAAAAAATATCTATACATCATCATTACTATAATGCAACAAAAAGTGGGGGTCAACTGCCCTTTAAATGAACGTTTTCAACAAAAAAGATTACGTTTGGAGAATAAAAGGTTGGGGGAGGCCCCCTCCTCCTAGTTAGAAGAATCTAACTGTGTCTCGGGACAGGCCCTCAACACAGTCGTTAAACCGGGTCCGTAGGACATTTATCATTTTAACGATAGAACATTCCTCCTCCCTACTATGTGCCTGCTATGGTACTGTTTCTGAGGTACAAACCTCTCCTCTCCAGAAGATTAAATTCCAGAGAAGTCCTAAAAAAAATCAGTGTTCTCTTAAAAAGATCTAATCTGGTAGTATATCCACTGATAGGTATTGCATAAGCTCTTGTATTCTGCGACCAACTCCTTTGTTTTTTGATGCAGATGGGTATCATTTTCCATTGTTTAATGTTATACATATTTATGATCATTCATGTTAAGTGTTAATTTGTTTGATGTTCAATTGTTGAGGTTTACTCTATCTCATATGCATATTTCAAAACCATGTTTTTGTAATACTGTGGGTTTTTTATTTATGTATTCAAATAAAAGCTTTAAATTTAAAAATAGATCTTGTAACAATCGAGGCATTTAATCTTGCATCAGATATATGATATTCCCACTTTTTAAATTGATTACCTGCTATTTAACTGGTAATCCAATACCACTGGAACATGTGACTTGGTAGAGCTGGTTATTTATATATATATATAGAGAGAGAAAAAACATAAATTGACTTATTATTATGCAGAGCATTATTACTTCTTCCAAGTTCTTAACGGAAGTGTTCCTCAACAAAGCCCTATGTCTGGATAATTTCCATTTACCCATCTATTAATTTTAACAATGCTTCTCTGTCTTGTCCTAGAAAAGTACACATACTGATTTCTTATTTTTTTTTATATTAATTATCAGTTCTACACTGGTTCTGAGGTATGGATATATTGATTGTGTATATTGATTGCTTTGACAAACAACTTTGATGCAACGGCTTTTCCAAACATTGTGGATCCCTCAGAATTTTCTATAAGTAAAACAAAATTTCAACACTAAAAATATTTTATCAGTTTGTTTATTAATATCAACTCAACTTCACTCTTTACTAAGAAACCATTTGGTCAAAAACACAACAAAAGCAAACAAACAATGAATAGTGTAACTCTAGTGTGATAAGTTTAAAGAGGTATGCATCCGAGAGAATTTTCAGTAAGTGTATTTTTACTATATACTTTGATAAAGAATAAAATTTAAGAGACATGAGGGGGATACATGCCTTGTTTCTTGGTAAAAGTTAGTGAAACTTGACCTTTTTGCACTTAGGAAAAAAGTTTGAAATATTGACTTAAGCTACCGCTGATTAAAAATTTGTCAACATGACAATATGTTTTATGAAATAAAATACTGAAGGATAGTAATGTATAGTTTTGGTCTGTATAGACAAAAAAAAATCATCAAAGTCTATTATATGAATTGTGAACATTTAGCACTTAAAAATAGCAAAATTCAACATAAACAGAATATGTTTCAAAAATTCAATAAAGGAGTTATGCTAAAATTTTGCATATTATTACTAAACTTTTATTTTGTTTATCTAGAACAAAAAAATGGGGTTACATTTCATTTTTTTTAAATAATTAAAACATAAAATGGTTTATCTTAAAATTTGATAAATAAGTTTAAAGTCTCTACTATTTGTTTGAACAAATAGTTGTGCATGCATAATGATTTCTTCATTTTTGGAGATGTTTAAAAGCAACTATAAAATTAAGATAAGCAAATTTGTATGCATTTCTTTTATGAAATCCATCCGCATGAAAAAACAGTTCCCAAGAAAACTCCCTTAAAAAGCATTTGACTTTCTATCTTATAATAACATTACGTTACATTGTATATACACAATATTTTATAAATATGATAATTATTATTAAACACTGATCATTTTGAAAAGTATTAATCCCGTTCCATTGAAATCCTAATGCTTATAGGAGTATATGCTTCCTTAATAAACTCAGTAGCAAAGAATTTCCCATTTTCCCTGCTGTTCATACCTTTGGCTTTGACCTTCATTCAAGAGATGTGGTTTTTAATACTGGTAGTAAGAAAAAAAAATTACATAAAAAAATATCCAAGCTTCTGATTCATAATGATCATGTTAACAACCGTGTCCTTTGAAAAAGTGATCCTAAAATTTATAGGTATCTTTTATGAAGATATATCACAAACATATACATGTATGTACAATCCCCTTTTCTTTTTATATTAAACTCTCAATATCTTGAACCCTCAGATTTCTCTGTTTTCCCTGGTGCCATCAAGTTTGAGAGCAGGAGGTTTGACTGTACTTCGAGATAAAAGGTAAAAGCTATTTTAACCTTGACAATGGGTCAGGTGACCTAAGAATTCTTCCAACAATCCTCCGCTTATGTAATAAATAAAAAGTTTATAACTTGAACGTTACTTATCACATCACATCACATAAAAGCGTTTGATTAAAGGATATACGGCTAAACAGACCCAATCACTATGATAAGGCACCAACATTTCGATGCAAGACCCTAATAACGCAAATAACATAAAACATCAATCAAAGAATAAAATAAAAGTATCGGGAAAACTCTTAAAAAACAACAAACTTTAAATAAATTACTGCCTCTGATGGCAAACAAATCATAAACTTTGTTTCAAAGATCTCTCACCCATATACAGGAATACATTATCTAGCATAACAAGTCTACCAAACACCCTGAACAAACTTGGTATCATAAGATGTTTGTCCGAACTCTATTTAATGATTCTAGAGACATTTTATCTCTTGTATAACCATAATGATGAAGTGTCTTTATCATCTATTCTTTGTAATTATCTAGCCTACCATTTACATGTATCTGTGTCATATAAGTAAACCAAAAGTAAAACTAATCAATGCCCCTCCTCAAAAATCCTGTGTGTATATTAAAAGGGGGGGGGTGACATTTAATATATATTTTGTACCGGTATATCTGGACCCTCTACATCAATTCTGCTATACATGCTGAAATTTTTATATTAAACCCTAAATAATGTTTAATGTTAAACTTTTTGATCTGGTGGTCTTTGAAATATTGGTTAAACAAGTGATAAGAAGACATGCATTGTTACAACATAAAAATCACCTGAGGGACGCAATTTAAATGCCATATGATCAGATCTACATTTTGTTGACATATAAATGCAGTAAAACAAAACAAAGCAATTAAGCACTGGTATCAGTAATACAATTCTATCAAAAATAAATAAAACACTACAAGATATGTCCTTATGTAACAATGAGATCAAAACAGGTAGCACTAAAAACATCTGTTGTGGTGAATGTCTTGGCACAAAACTGACACAATCATTGGCAGATTTGTTCTTCTGTTGAAATAAATGTCAAAGTTAATTGTAAAGAAACTGGATGAACTCCATGTTTAACTTTGTGACCCTATGTCACCGGGTGACCTTGACCTGGTCAGAGATAGGTGACCTTCACCTGATCAGGTATGTAACCTTGACCTGGTCAGAGATATGTATTCTCAGTCTGAGTGGCTGCACCTCTGGTGAAATGTTCCACATCTTCAATGGTCTCAGGAAGGGGTTTCTTGTGGGTCTCTGGGAGGAAGCATGCTAAGATTCCCCCTACAACCATGATAACACCGAACACAACTAAAGGAATGTAGGACTGGGTGCTACTGGTCTGAAACAAAGGCACATTTTATCAAGAAACTCACTGTCTAAAATAACGAAAATGGAAACAAACTTAAATGTCAAAAAAGTCCAAATTTGAAAATCCTTTATACATATTTTTTTTTTAATTTCAGAATATTATGTATAGTATTGAAGTATATAGCACCACAGTAAAGGACTCAGTTAAGTGTTGCTGTCAATGGGTCTCTATAGTTTATCAGGTGTGCTGAACAAATCCTGAAATACAAATACTTACTGCATAAACTATCAGAGGGGCAGCTATTCCTCCTAAATTCTCAAAGAATGAAGATAGCCCCAGAGCATGGTTTCTAAAAATGAGTAAAAAGGTTTTATATAAAGGTTTTCATTGGATGTATGTCTCATCTCTCTCTCTTTTCTTTCTTTCTTTTTTTTAATTTTAAAACGCATAACGAATTGCACTTTGAATTATTGTATGTGGGAATGTACATGTATGTACACTGCAGTATTTTACATATGTCCAAGTTTTACAATGTAACTGTGTTTAACATAGTTAAATCTTTTCCATTTTCCATACTAAGTGAATGAAGGTCAAATGCCCTCCCTCTTTGAAAGGGCACCTGTGAGTGTCCAGAGTCCCAAGTAGCTTCCATCAAGATAATAAATACACTTCAACTTCACTACCTCGAACGCCAATATCTCAAATACCATGGGTATGTCAAAGTGAGTCGAAAGTCCCAATAACATTTTGTTTACATAATTTACCCTCAATATCTCAACTCCTTGGATAACTCTCAGTTTTTTCTTGATCCCATTGAGTTCAAGATGATGAGGTTTGGCTGTATATGTAATACTTGGATACCACAGATATGTCATTTGTTTCTTGTATTTTAACCCCTGTATCTAATTCTCATGGCATCTTAAGTTTTTTTATTGGCCCCAATTGAGATCAAGATAAAGAGATTTGATTGTATCACACCAGTACTACATGTATAATATCATACCAATATTACATGACTTGTATATTATACCAATATTACATGACTTGTATATTATACCTGACAACTGTGGGGAAGATTTCTGAGGAATAAAGGTAAGACAGAGAATATGCTCCGGTAATTCCGAACTTTCCTATCATGGCTGCTGTAATCTGTAACCAGCCTAGGTCAACACCAGAATCTGCAAAGAATCTGTATAATTAAGCACATACAATGTAGATTATTCATAAAGAGTAATTAGTGCTGATATCTCAGTTTCTTCAGTCTATTGATATACAGTATAATGAATATATTACGTCTGTTAAATACTTTTTTACCTGTTTTATTGGGAATGAATATAGTAATAATGTTCATAATCCCTGACAACAGCAGGAAAAATATGACAGGTCTTCTACGTCCAACCCTGTAAAACACAAAATTATCACTACAAATAGATATTGTGATCTGCTATTGAAAGCAAAAAGAAGTCACTCAACTGGCTGTACTTGGATGTTAATCAGAAAAAAAGAGATTTTTTTCAATTCACTTTCACTATCTCCATTATGATAAATCATGATTCATATATTCATTTCATTATATGAAAAAAAAAATTGAAAGAACAAGGGAGATAACTCCCGTACCAGTTAATGATGAACATGCAGATAATAAGAGCAGGGATCTCGACAATCCCACTGATCCCAAGGTTCAGGAACTGGTTACCATGGAGTTGGGGTGTGGCAAAGAGAATCCCAAAATAACATACACTGTCAGCTGTCCTAAAAAACAGAAGGAAATGTATGAACACATGTGAAGATTTCCTAACAGTTAAAATTTCGTAACAGGAAAGGAGAGAATTTATGGCTGAACTGGAAATAGAACTCCGGACCTCTTCATCACTAGTCAGGTTTCTAACCACTGAGCTACCCAGGCCAATATCCATGGCCCAAACTATTACATTCCTCCCTCATAAATTTGTCTTCAATCTACAAGACACAATCCAAGTTCTATTTTCCCCTGGCAGGATTTTTCACCTGCAAGTCCAAGAGGTGGTCAATGGCACCAAATTATGTAACAAGAAAGAAGAAAATGTATGGTTGGACTGGGAATCATACCTGGGACCCCTTAATCACTAGTCAGGTGCTCTAACCACTGAGCTGTATACCTGACCCTTGTTGATCAAACCTGTCTGACTGCCACAGTCCAATAAGCTATCAATTAATGTTGAATTTTTAAAAAGCAGAAAACATATTTTTTCAGCATTTTAAAATCATTTGTATCAATTACCAGTTCTGACCTAAAACTTGATTTTGATTTTTACAAATATAGTTTTAAAAAAATCTTACCATAAATAAAACATTATTAAGGTGTATCTCCTCAATTTGGAGGTCTTAAAGAGGTCAAGCACAGTATATTTCCTTGTGTCCTTTGACCTTAGGAGGCCCACTTGGCTCTGACCGACACCTGAGGTTTCCATCGGCTCCTGTTCCTGTATAGCTAACAGTTCAGCTGGGATCTCCTTATTGTTTACTTTAGCAGCAAACTTTGCCACAGTTTTAGCCTGATTATATTTCTTTTTAGCTATAAGCCATCGAATGGATTCTGGTAAAAACCTAAACACAAATTCACTCTGATAGCAACAGTATTTTGGTTATTTACCTATTAAAGGAAGCAATATGACTTTCAAATAAAATTTTACCATATAAAGAATACTGATTTTCTAAAATTTTTAACATGGTGGGTGAATATCAACTTTAAATGGTCAAATCATTTTTTTTCTAAGTAGCATAAAAAAGTGGGTTGCAAAGGCAGAATTGACTGCATATACATATATATCAGATTAACTATTTTCATACCAGGCATAAATGATGGTAAGAAAATTTGGCACAGAGATCACAAGCTGTAGAGTTCTCCAGTCTCGTATAAAGTAACCCATTACTGCCAAGACCACCAGCCCTATCCCCCAGGAACAGTTAATGCCCACTGAGGGAAAGGAACGATTGGATGCCGGAAACATCTCTGTTACCATGACATAGGTTGTCAAGGCAATAGGCTAAAACAAACCAATCTCAATATCAATCACAACGAACACGTAAATATTTGCGATTATTTGGAATATAAAAAAGCTTGAATAATAATTGCATAATATAAAGTTCATTTTGTAAATAAGCCCCTGATTGAGACAAAACCATACTTGACCTCTATTTTCAACTGACCTTGACCTGTTAAGTTCTTACTTGTTCAGTATAAATACAAGTACGTGTAATTACAAATATTAATAATAAATAACTAATGAGATTAATCTACCGTAATACATGTATGTATAAAATATAAAGATTTGATTTTATAAACATACCATGTTTAGTAAGGCTATAAAAAATCTTAACACAGTGAACATGGCGTAACTGCTAGCAAAGGCTGTTCCTATACCGATGGCCCCTTGTATCCACAGCATTCCTAGAATAACCCACTTCCTGCCAAATTTGTCAGACAGCGGAGTGAGAAACAGAGCCCCCAGTGTGTTCCCCACCATGTAGATTGTAGAGGACAAATCCACCAGGAAATTATTATCACACACCAGGTCCCACTAGAAATATCGAAAGGATTCATCAAACTTTCTGTCACAGCTCCAGTATCAAGAATTCTTGTGTGCTGTCACATCTTTAATTTTTATGCTAATGATTCATATTATTATTACTAGATGATTAAAGTCATAACAGTTCTGCTCTAATTTTCATTAAAATAACTCTCTGTGGGGTTGGATTTTTTTTGTTCACCTGAAATGCTTGTCTTATAGAAATACCTCTGTTAATATAGTGGAATCAAATTCACTTCCGTATGTCCAGCCTTGATCACATGACTTGGTTTGATTCTGGGTTAGAGACTTCATCACACATTTTTCAAAGTCTCCATTTGAGTCTACAGGAATAATGACTGCCACTGATTCATTTACAGGCACCTGTTGAATGAGGCTAAAAGTTAAATCTCCAAACTCTGAGCAAAGTAAGCCCAACTGCAACCCTTTTGAACACCTTACTGAATTTTCCATCTATCAATTTAAACTAATATTCTGCGGAATTTTACTTCCTAAACTTTACAGAAATGGAAAGTACATCTAAGACGTTAAAATTTAATTAAAATTTGGTGCTTAATTTGATCAAGTCTTGCTTCACAAACACTTTGTGTGGTTCGATGCATGGATCGAATTATATTTAGTTTGATAATGTCCTTACCTTACAGTGGTGACCTGGATCTCCTCCCAGAAACAGAATGGCCATCACTGGCCAGGCTCCTCTCATGTAGATAAAGGACACACATAGGAAAAAGAGGACCTGGAATAGGCCGAACCGGCCAAGGCTCTCCAATATCTTATCTCCATCCATCTACAATATAAAAATAACTTATACAGAAAGGAGAGGACCTGAAATAGGCCAAACTGACCCGGATTCTCTAAAAATCTTAAAACCGGTGATCAGAAAAGTTCATTTAGCTTTCAGCTCAGGTGAGCTAAAAACTACTCTCTAAATGACACATGATAATGTGTATGCCTACAGATAGCAAAGGAACATTCAATGTCTTCACTCGTAAAAGAATCAGAGAGAAACTACTATATGTAGTACATATATGGTATGTGCAACTTTGCAACCATGTGTAAAGTGACAAAACAGTTACCGGTACATAAAATATAAATGATAAAGTCAAGATTAAGGAACCATATATATATTTTTTTTTTTGTATTTTATATTTCACAGTGAGGTATAAATACTGAATTAACATTTTAAAACCCTGAGTAGATGCAGAATATCTTACCTTCACAGTTGAACAAGTAGACCTACAGGTGTGTCATTGTTGTTAAAGTGTTCCAGAATACCTGTACAGGTATGCTGTCATCTTTATCTCACATCCTTTTAACACTCAGTTGACCTCATTTCTTTTATTACGTGGTGCTTGCATTTTTCGACATATTTTCATGCTACTTGAAAAGAACAAGAATATGCAGAAAGATTTATTACATCTAATTTTGTGGTAAAATATTACATACATTTTTGATATACCTCTATAAATGAGTTCAAGTTTAATCTGTCTCCTTTTTGATTTTCGGGTTTGAATTTTTGGTTTGTTTATAATTACAAGTATTCACTTTCGAGATGGTTCTAGTTTATCTTAAAAGATTTTTTTGCCCCTATAATCAAAGATTTGGGGGCATATAGTTTTTGCCCTGTCCGTCCATCTTCTGTCTGTCTGTTTGCCAGAAAAAAAATTTAACTTCTGATTGGTTGGAGCTATGGCTTTCAAATTGACCTTGGACATAACTTTTGAACAGTTGGTGCTTGGGCTTTCAAACTTCACAGGTGCATTTCTTGTGACAAGACCTTCCTTTGCATACCAACAATGTTGAACCTTTGACTTTGACCTTGGAGTTTGACCTACCTTTAAAAAAACTTTAACCTTGGTCATAACTTTTGAAAAGTTAGTGCTAGGGCTTTTATACTTCACATGTGTATTCCTTGTGACAAGACCTTCCTTTGGATACAAACAACTTTGACCTTTTGGCCTTGACCTTGGAGTTTGACCTACTTTAATTTTCAAAACCTTGCCCTTATCTTTTGAACAGTTATTGCTAGGGTTTTCATATTTCATATGTGCATTCCTTGTGACAAGACCTTCCTTGGATACCAACATCTTTGACCTTGACCCTGGAATTTGACCTACATTTGAAAAACTTTAACCTTTGCCACAACTTTTAAACAGTTCATGCTAGGGATTTCATACTTCACATGTACATTTCTTGTGACAAGACCTTCCTTAAGATACCAACAACTTTGACCCTTTGATATTAACCTTGGAGTTTGACCTACTTTTGAAAAAACTTTAACCTTGGCAATAACTTTTGAACAGTTGGTGCTATGGCTTTCATACTTTAGTTTACATGTATATTCCTTGTGACAAGACCTTCCTTTGGATACCAACAATTTTGGCATTGACTTTGACCTTGGAGTTTGACCTACTTTTAAAAAACTTTAACCTTGGCCATAACATTTGTTAATGAACATTTGGTTCTAGGGCTTTCACATTTCATGAACATGTGTATCACTTGTGACAAGACCTTCCTTTGGGCACCATTTGACCTTGACCTTGTACTTACTTTTAAAAAAACTTTAACCTTTGCCATAACTTTTCAATGGTGGTGCTAGGGCTTTCATGTTTCACAGGTATATTCCTCGAGACAAAACCTTTCTTTGGGTACCAACATTTTTGATCTCTTGACCTGGAGTTGACCTGCATTTGAGAAACTTTAACCTTCGCTATAAGCTGCCATATGGGGGCATCAGTGTTTCACAAACACTTCTTGTTTTTCCATAGAAATTATGGGTTTTCCTTTGATTCAGGTTACTTTGTATGTTTATGTGCATCTGGTATTTATGTACATACCATGGCATGTTAATTCTTGCTCATAAAAATAATCTTTCAAAATATTTCCTCTACATTTAATCTATTGTATTAGGGTACATATTACACCCTACTGTCTGCTTTATAGAAAAAAAGTTTCCTCATTATACTGGATAACATATTTTTCTTCTCTTCTTCTGAAGAGAGAGAGAGAGAGAGAGATTGACTTATCATACTTTCATTGTACACATATACAGTAGTTCACAGAATGACATGGACTTAAAATAAATATCTAATTATGTAGGCACACATATCAACAGGGTTGTTATTTACACATAAAATATCATATTTTGTTGCATTTATGGATTAATCTGCATAATGTTAGGTTTAAAGACTCAATATGTCTTCCAAAATTGTTGATTAACCAAAAGAATTACCGGATATGTAAGTATATGTATTGATATAAACTTTTGAAGCTGTTGAGCTTTTTGTTATCTTGGGGTACACGTACCTACTGGTACCTATATCGGCTTAACTCCAGAGGAATTTATTGATGTTTTCTTAAGTACACAGACAGAATAGCTAGATAAATTTTAAGTTACATAATGAGTCAAAATCATGTGTTTCTTGTAAGATAATTGTATCTTAAAAAAAGATTTATGTGAAATATGAATAATGCTAAGTTTTGACAACTCAGTTGCACGGTAAAGCAACAAAAAAACTGAAAAATGTAAGTGCCGGAATAACAAAGGTTAATGTACATGTATCTACAGCTTAGTTGTTATCGTCAATGTCAACAATGTCAAGGTCATGCGACTTATATTTTCAAACTTGTAAACAACATTGAATTGGAGCAAGCAGAAGTGAGGAATATGTTCTGATCATCTTTAATGAAGATTGTATCAAAACCCTCAGTCATCCCATATTTATTTAAGGAATAACTGTCTAATTTTTTGGATTCATGATGTGATCAATCGAGTGGCTTGCATGATAATTTGCATAAATGCCGAAGGCGTTTATGCATAAAATTATCACGCAAGCCAATCGATTGATCATCGTCATGAATCCAAAAAATCTGACAGTTATTCCTTATATTTACATGCTCCTGATTCTGCAAATTCCCGTGCTAATAGCCCCGCTTCTGTCTCTATTTGTCCCGCCCCGCACGTGATTTTTTTTAATCGCGCCTATCGATGAACCAGTAGATTTATGTAGAAATAAAGTATTTTTACAATTTGTAATTTTATCTCGGACAAAGACATTGGAAATGTAAATATATCTATGGAATTGACCCCATGGTAAATTCTTCAACTTTTCTGCTCATGCATGCAATAAAGAGGAAGAAGTGATGTAATATTTTTGTGTTGGGGCAAACAAAATTATTTTTACTTTTATTTTCCTCCATGAAAGTAGATTTTTTAGTTTCTGAAACCTGTAATTTTCTAAAACCTAATATCTTCAAGAATTGAACAAAATTTGCATTGTCATCCAAAAATTCTTCTTTTGTCAGTTTTCCCCTTTTTCTGTCACGGTGTCTCTTTAATATTTGTTGCTATGAAACCTTCAATCTAAAAAGCATGTTTGAGAAATGATAAACTAAGACTCTAGTATTCAGACACTTTTAACAAAAAATAATTTATTCTTTTATTCAAAATTATAAAAGATATAGATATCTTGAACAACAATTGTTACAATTTCATAACTTTCAAAATGATATGGACAAACTGTATTTCTTAGAAACTAAAAATTTAAGGTACTAAAAACAAGAGGCCCATGGGCCACATTGCTCACCTGAGCACAATGGCTAGACAAAAGCACAAATCAGTTCACTATTGAAAAGATTATTGAGGGGGGAGGGGCTTGAATTTTAAACTACATGATGATGCTTCCATGTCAATATAAAAAATGGCTTTGTTGTACATGAGAAGATTTCAAAAAAAAAATTCCATATATTCCTTTGTAAAAATTTGATCCCCCGTTGTGGCTCCTCTTATTCCAGGAGTCATCATTTGCACAAACTTGAATCTACACTACCTGAGGATGCTTCCATATCAATATGACTAAACATAGCTTTTCTGTTCTTGAGAAGAAATTTGTTTTCTATATGTTCTTATATAAAATTTTCGATCCCCCATTGTGGCCCCACCCTATACCCAGGGGTAATCATTTGAACGAAATTGAACCTACACTACCTGAGGATGCTTCCATATCAAAATGACTAAACATGATTTTCTGTTCTTGAGAAAAAGATATTTTCCTATATGTTCCTATGTAAATTGGGGGTCATGATTTTAATAAACTTGAATCTACACTACCTGAGGATGCAAATTCATATCAAAATGACTAATCATGGCTTTGCAGTTCTTTTTCAGAAGATATTTTCCTATATATTTCTATTTAAGACTTTGATCCTCCATTGTGGCCCCACCCTACCCCAGGGGGTCATGATTTGAACAAACTTGAATCTACACTACCTGAGGATGGATGCTTCCATATAAATATGACCAATCAGGGCTTTACTGTTCTTGAGAAGAAGATTTTTCTCATATATTTCAATATCAAACTTTGACCCTCCGTTGTGGCCCCACCCTACCCCTGGGGGTCATGATTTGAACAAACTTGAATCTACACTACCTGAGGATGCTTCCATATAAATATGACTCATCATGGCTTTGCTGTTCTAGAGAAGAAGATTTTTAAAGATTTTTCCTATATATTTCTATGTAAAACTTTGATCCTCCATTGTGGCCCCACCCTACCCCCGGGGGTCATGACTTGAACAAACTTGAATCTACACTACCTGAGGATGTTTCCATATAAATATGACTCATCATGGCTTTGCTGTTCTTGAGAAGAAGATTTTTACAGATTTTTCCTATATGTTTCTATGTATAACTTTGATCCTCCATTGTGGCCCTGCCCTACCCCCAGGGGTCATGATTTGAATAAATTTGAATCTACACTACCTGAGGATATTTCCACATGAGTTTCATCTTTCCTGACCCTGTGGTTCTTGAGAAGAAGATTTTTAAAAGATGCTATTCATTTTTCTCTAATTCTTAATTATCTCCCCTTGAAAGAGGGTGTGGCCCTTCATTTGAACAAACTTGAACCCTCTTCACCCAAGGATGCTTTGTGGCAAGTTTGGTTGAAATTGGCCCAGTAGTTCTGGAGAAGAAGTCGAAAATGTGAAAAGTTTACAGACAGACAGACAGACGGACAGCTAGACGGACAGACGGACTACAGACAAAATGTGATCAGAAAAGCTCACTTGAGCTTTCAGCTCAGGTGAGCTAAAAATGATTGGGTGGGGGTGATTTGTCTGGTCAGTCTGAGAACATCATACATTATTAATTTTTTTATTTTTGGCCTTATCTTCTCTTTCTGCTCCTTTTATGTCCAAATATCCATAAATTATATTTATCAAGCCGATGAGTATACAGGAATATACATATATTCTTCTGATCTAACCACCCTTGTCTTATAAACCTCATAAAGTTAAATGAATCATTGATAGAATGATTAGGCCATCTTTAAAAAATTGTTTGTTTGCCCTCTCCCAATCGACTGGCTGAAAATGGTCCGACTCAAGATTTTTTAATCTCCAGGAAACGATTTTTTTTTCATTCCTGTATATTCTCATCCCCTCAAACAGTATTTTGAAATTTTCTGGGGGAAAAAAAATGGACCCACCTACCTGCCGACCCAAGGCAAACAAACATTATTTTTAAAGATGGTCTTATTAAGATGCTGGTGAAAAACTGTCATTCAAGTCAAATCAGGTCCAAACTCCTTCCTCCCCTTTCAGATAAAATTTGCCTCCCAAATGTTGAATACCAAAAATCTCACAGGTGAAAAAAATTCTGATCTTTTTGATTTGTACTTATTCATGCAGTCAGTATGGCCCTGCTGTTCTTCCTCAGCAGATTTCCCTCCTATATATTCCTGTGTAAAACTTCAATCACATATTGTGTCCCCATCCTATCACTGGAGGTCATGATTTAAACAAACTTAAATCTATACTACCTGAGGATGCTTCCATATAGATATGACTAATCAGGGCTTTGCTGTTCTTGAGAAGATTTTTAAAAATTTTTCCAATACATTCCTTTGTAAAACTTTGATCACATATTGTGGCCCCAACCCATCCCCGGAGGTCATGATTTGAACAAATTTTAACCTAACTACCTGAAGATGCTACCAAATAGATCTCATTTTTCATGGCTTTGCTGTTCTTGAGAAGATTTAAAGATTTTCCCTACAAATTCCTATGTAAAACTTTGATCCTTCATTTCTGTCCCACTCTACAGGGTTGCAAATAACCACTTGCCCACTTGCAAATGCCAGTAATTTTGCCTGTGGGCAACCAACTTTTGAGGGTAGTACATGTATTGCCCACATGGCGAGTAAGAATTTTATCGGACATTTTCTGGAACCTTATCATGCTTTGGTTCCACTATTAAATGCACTTTCGTTTTCACTGTTTTCTTCCTATAAAATATTTTCAAGACCCAGAATCGTGTCAATGAAAGTATGAAAATTCATTTATGTATCAAGAGTAGTGGGTTTTAGTCCAATTAAGGTGAACGCTGTATTATTCACAATTAGCAGCTTTATATTCATTAATTTTCCTCCTGAAATTAAAATGGTGAAAATGTTTTCTAATTCTTTGCTGCTACTGTGGGCAAAAATATTTCATGTTATGAAATATTTTTATGAAATATGAAACTTTGAAAGTCAGTAAAGTATGCTTTCTGTCAGTTAAGTACGCTTTCTGTAATTTTACGACAGAAATATTTCATTCAAAAAACATATCTTGAAGTGAATGAAAACATGGAATTCCAAACAATTGGTTTCGAAATCCCCAGGAAAAATGAAATTAATAACTGTGGACAGGAATGTATTTGATATTATCATAAGAAATGATTTTTTTTACCAAGTGAACAGTAAGTAATGGGCCTCAAAATATCAATATGGGCTAGTAAAACTTGTGAAGTTGGGAGCCCACATGGCCCCTAAGTTTAAAATGTTATTTGCAATCCTGACTCTATCCCCAGGGGTTATGATTTGAACAAACTTGAATCTACGGTACCTGAAGATACATCCATATAAATATGACATCATGGCTTTGCTGTTCTTGTCAAATGAGGAGAAAATTTTTAAATATTTTTCGTATGTATTCCAAAGTAAAACTTTGAACACCCATTGTGGCCCCTCCATAACTCTGGGGGTTATAATGATTTGAATAAACTTGAATTCACATGACCTGCAGATGCATACATATAAATAAGACTATTCCCACTTTGCTGTTCTTGAGAAGATGATTTTTAAAGATTTTTCCTATATATTCCTAGGTAACACTTTGATCACTTATTGTGGCCCCATCCTACCCCAAGGGCTATGTAAAAGCTTTCACATAAGTTTCATTTTTTTTCTGGTTCAGTGGTTCTTTGGTAGAAGATTTTTAAATGACCCCACCCAATTTTCACCATTAAATTATCTCCCCTTGGAAGAAGGTGCAACCCTTCATTTGAATAAATTTGAATCCCCTTCACCTAACACTACAAGAATACCCTGTGCAAAGTTTGGTTGAAATTGGCCCTGTGGTTCTGGAGAAGAAGATGAAAATGTGAAAAGTTTATGATGACAACAACAAGGACAGACAATAGAAAGGCTCACTTTAGCCATCAGCTCTGGTGAGCTAAAAAAGTTTGAAGACTCCTGAAGGCCTAGACAAATCTAAACAGAAATCAGCTAAGAGCAAGCAAATTGCTGAAAGCCACTCATTTTGAGAACTCTGCAAAGTAAAAGAAAATGTAACCTTAATGTCCTTGCAAAACCTTTTTTTTTAAAACTGTACTGCCTAGACCCTGTGAATACTTCCTGTTAGCTTGTCTTTGCTTGTTATCATCTATCTGTGTGCATCAGGCACTTTAACCATCGGCATCCTGTTCATATTTTAGCTACCCTGACTCTTGTTAATATGAGTAACAAGATTATATGATACACTTTCAATGAGATTAAAAATAACATCCTCCAATTCATGTTATTCATTTCTTTGAGGTACAGTGAAGATATTTAATTAAAACAAATTTTACCTCATGCATTTCAAGGGGTATTAGCAACTAGGGTGGAAATATATGCAGCATTGAATCTGAATTATTTTGCTCATCAGGGAACCTTTTTTACTAATGTTTGACACATATGGGATCGACAACTGAGTGAATATAAAAAAAAAAATTAAATTGCAATTTACCTCCAATGAATCGTCCGACACACTCTAAATCCAGTGGATCTTGTGTACACTTTTTACATCTGTATTTATAACCTTTCAGCAAAAAATTCCGATTGCAAAGCTGATGTAATTGACCTTCATGGAAAAATAATTTTAAAAAGCTGTGCAATGCACGTGTAGTCTTACAACAGTTGTTCAAGGTCGGACAAAACAGATTAATCGAATAAAAATATATCTAAGTACCTACCAAAGGTTTTCGAGCTGCCTCCTTAAGAACTTACTAAAATAGAAATTCTAGACGACAAGGAACATTGTTGTAGTACTACTGGACGACAGCAGACATGTCCTAAACAACACTGAACATGTAACATGCGGTGCGTCTTTTCATCTGAATCCTACTTTCACTTTGGGATTGTTCTGCAATCGTTCCCCGAATGGTTCGTCCTTTAAAATTTAAAGGCTTGACACTTTACTAACACCTACTTAAATGTTGCAGATAGTATTTTTTTTAAACAATGTTAAGGCTAAAAATAGTGGGGAAAACTAAAAATCTATTCTAACTGACAAACCTAAGGTTCAAATTGAAAGGCCTTACCCTACAAAATATAAATACGCCACGTATAAGAGGAAACAATAACTATATATAAGCCCAATTACACCACGAAGATAAATTTCACATATTTATATATGTAAAGACATATTAATTTATTTCATTTGTATCGTAATTAATAAACGAGTCCTCTGCGACTCCGCACACGTTTGGTACAAACGAACTCTGGTGTATGACACGTTTACAAAGTAGTACAATTGTAAAATCCACAAGTATTAGCTTTTCTAAAAAGCTTGTCTGACTTGAGCAAATTTATTTTTACGCGAAGAATCAAAAAAAGTTAAATCCAGTGTAATCAACGTGACTCTGAGTAATGAAACGAATTCTTTTGCTAAGAAACAATATTAATAAAAGTTTAAACAAGTGGCATCAGCATAAATTTAAACTTGGACATGAATTTATTCCATATACACTACATATATTTATACTTGTAATTTCCTTTTTTATGGACGTAGGGTCCGGCCGGGGGAGGGGGAGTGCCCCCCCCCCTATTTATGCCGATTCATACATAGCTATATTTTATGATTTTGTCTCCTAAATCATGAAACTTATATTTAACTTCTGATAACTTGATAGTGTCCATCTTAAACTGAAAATTTCTGAAATTTCTTCCAACGGGCCTGTTCATGGATAAAAAGATATAACCAGTGCTTTTGAAAGAAAAACTACAACACATAAAAATCTAAACATCAACTGGTGAACAATTTTGATAATTAAGAAATGTTTTATTTAAAAAAAAAAAATAAACGTGTTACAAATGAGCTAACATCTTTGCATTTAGCAAAAGAATATTCAGCATATATCAATCACTTTGATATTTTTTTTTACTATGAATAAATGAAACGTCTGCAAGTTATGAATATGTGTAGATTTATAAAAATTCTAAAGATAGAGAGACTCAGTATGCATTCAAATTAAACATCCATTAGTTAATCTGATAAAGATAATCGACAAGTGTTGACCAGACCAGCTTCATTCATTTCTGTTTTGCTGGACATGAATGTTGCATTCGAGAATGGCCAAATGTTATGCAACCTGTAATGTATAATGTGATAATAGACAGATCAGCTTCAATACTCTGGCTTGTTTGGGTGTTTACTCTTCATGCTCTCCAGTTAATAGTTATTAAAGATAGTATGAAGTTTCCAAGATCAAGTTATCACAAGAATTCTATTGAACAACTTGACTAACAAGCCTTGGCTAAATCTTAAGTACTGTATGACGCCATGACCTCAGACAAAAATCACTGTGTAGAAACGGACTAGGGTAAAGTGCGTTACCCTAGTCCAAGATGGCGACAGGCAAATACGCTTCGATTAATTTGGACTTAGTTTACCCATTATGCAGGCTTACATTATGTAATGAATGGTTTAATTTGATTTATTTTAAACAGAAGTACATAGCTATTGCAAAAATTTTGCATGATCTGTGATAATTAAAGCCAAATTACGGGTAGAAAATTTGAACAAGATTAGGGTAACGCAAATTTACGACTAGGGTGAAGATTTTGTGATCTATTTGAGTGATTAGGGTAAAGCATGTGTAAAAATGTCATTTTGCTTGCTTTAGGGTTTAAAAAATGTTATTTCAGCAAACTCAAAACGCACTCTGCTATGGAACGCCAAATTAACATATATTCAAATATTTGTACCTATCTTCAAATAATTGTACCTATCTTCAAATCAATTGTACCTATCTTCAAATCAATTGTACCTATCTTTAAATCAATTGTACCTATCTTCAAATGAATTAGAGATAGGTATAATTCAATTATACCTATCTTTAATTCATTTGAAGATAGGTACAATTGATTTGAAGATAGGTACAAATGCAATGAATTGAAGATAGGTATAATTGATTTAAAGATAGGTACAATTGAATTGAACCTATCTTTTATTACTAAGATATTGGCAATAATAACTACTCCCTTCATTATCTACCGATCTCCGACACTTTCGGGGTACTCGGGTATATATTGACATACATGTGTATTTTAATAAGTATATAATGCTTTTTTCACATTTTAACATACCTTTATTTCTCCTTTCATCCTCGTTGTCGTCGCTCTGTATGCTCTGTGCGTTTCCCTCCATGTTCAATATTGTCTCCAAGGGAGCGTTCATTATTTTTAATATATTCGATCAGTGCATATTATCTATTCAAGATATATTACTAAAGTCAGGTACTCTTCACACAATTGCTCCGAAGAAAATAGTTCCATTCATGATCAGTAGATACAACATTACAACAAATGTTAAGAATAATGATATATATTTAGTATGTCAAAGAAAACAAAATTAACGTAAAAAGATTTTAAGAAAATCACTTTTTCCCCAGAAAAGCAAATAAAATGTTTTCATATTCCTACGCTCGCTGCCTCCTCAGTCTTTTTCACGAAAATATATAGGTCATACTTCGATTGATAATGATAAATCTTTTCACCAATTATATTACTGTCATGATTATTGTTTGTTAATTGTCGTATATTTTCTTTTGAGTGAGAATGTTAATCATTAATTGTGTGTGTTTTATTTTACTTTTTTTAAAATAATGGAATGGTTATTATGGTTAGACACCTGCAATCGTAACTTCTCGGCAAAGCAACTCGTCGGAAAGGATTTTCGCACGTGTGTAGACCTAGGCTATTTGGTCTTGCAAGCACAGGTGTATGCACCGTTCGCTAGTGACGCTTAGATCATGTAGATTGGGTATCAGTATTTGATACGGACATGAACTGATGAAGAAGTTTAGAACTATTCTCCGGTTTCATAACAAGTGCAAGTTTTTTACTCAAGCGATAGAGGGGCTGAGTTATCTAAAATGATGCTAGGTCATCGATCTACTCAGTTTAAAATCACGAAAATATACTATTTCTGTAATTAAAAACATTTCTAGAAACAAAAATGAAGTTCATCTTCAAAACGTCTGTATATTCAAAATCTTATGTTAAGTGTTAAATGTCGGATTCTATTCTATGACTATAGGGAATATTCAGTGATGCTCCACAACCGATCTCGCGCTTTCCTTTGCGTTTAACAACGACCGTCAATGCATCTCTGGACGAGTTCATTGATTACTCTAAAAGGTGACAGGTTGACCCATCTTTAACATCTGCCTATATACTTTGAGTGATAGTACTTTAATAGCACAAAATTAAAAAATAAATTAAAATCTATCCTTGATAGATCTATATAGTTTTGCTATTAAGAAAAAACAAACAAACTGGGCTTTGATAATCCATAGCGGCTTGGACTTGTTTTGAATTTTTTTTTCCAGTTCTAAGATTCTATCCTTGGAAAGTTAGATGGTACACATCTAGCACAGGCCCATAGTTAACGCGGGATTTTTTCGGAGCCCCTCCCCCCCTTCACTTTGAAAACGTTGCTACAGGCCTGTACATTGCAACATGCTATTTGGATCAAATATTTCTGAAAATGAGTGAGGTGTTCAATACATTTTTAAAATTGTACGATTAATTATATTTAGTCTATGTTCTATGTGAAATTAAAACTATTTTAAAACTATGTGCAACTTTGTGATAAAGTCACTGTACATGCATGTAACGTTATATATGTACATGCAGTTTGTTTCCTAGTACACGCATATTTTATTCAACAAAATATGTTGAAACTCAGTAGCCTAAATATTATGTCATTTTAGGATTTTTATGGCACTTTTATAGTTGACTTTCTACAGCTTGAGTATCTCTGACGTTTTATCAGTAAATACTTGTTTTTTTTATTAGAAATCATCTGAGCACAATGCAAATTCGAATAAATTAAAAGTCGAATATCTTGGATATGGGGTAACCCATATCTATTCTTGTCAATAACACAAAACGAATTGAACCTAGGTATAATTGAATTGTACCTATCTTCAAATCCTTTGTGGATATGTTCTAATTGTACCTTTCTTCAAATCAATTATACCTATCTTCAAATCAGTTGTACCTATCTTTAAATCAATTATACCTATCTTCAAATGAATTAGAGATAGGTATAATTCAATTGAACCTATCTTTAATTGAATTGAAGATAGGTGTAATTCCATTAAAGATAGGTACAATTTATTTGTACCTAGGTATAATTATTTAGAGATAGGTATAATTATTTACACCTATCTTCAATTCAATTGTACCTATCTTCAATTCATTTGAAGATATATAGGTACATTTATTTGAAGATAGGTACAAATATTTGAAGATAGGTACAAATATTTGAATATATGTTAATTTGGCGTTCCATACTCTGCCAGTAAATTCATAATTCATTGCACAAAATACTATGTAATTGAAAAATTCTCAGTGCACTGACAATTTCTGGAAGAGCAAAATGGCCTAAATTTGTTCAAATCAGTCTTGGTTTCTGTTTAAAAAACAAATTGAGTCTTGAAAACAGTGTTCTGTTGATTTAGATACGGCGAACAACTTCAATTATCTACAGATCAATTAAAGTGTCATCAATGAAATGTGGAAAAAAATAAACAGAAATCATACCTAAAATCCAATCGAAACAATTAATACAAATTATGATCAGAGCAAAATGGACCTCTGAAAAGTGTAAACAGAGGGGGGATAAGGTGCCGTTGAGAAATGAACATACCCTAGCTGTCCAAAACTGCCGTGTACTTTTTGTCATGATCAGGTAAATGAAAAAAAAAATGGCCTAAAATTTAATATGAAAAAAGTCAGTAAACATTCGACTTAACGACACATTGTGTTAATTTTG